ATCTTTTTATTTTAAAACAGTGCATCGATGCACTACCTGTGCATCGATTCACCTTCAAACACTTTCTGGGTTTTAACATTGATGCATCGATGCACTCTGCCCAGAATCCTCTTTTTAAACCCGAAAATTCATTCATTTTGGATTAAATCCTTCATGTTTAATCCTCTTTTTCATTCTTAACTATAGTACACATCCTTAGACCAATTTATACTCATTTATTTCATCTTAAACCTCCAAATTCTATCCTTCATATGTAATTCAAGAATTACATCAATAATTCAACATGTTTGAATTTCGCTTTTAACACTTCGTATATCTTAACTAGATTGATGACAAGTCAAATTTAACTTTCAATTCTAGTTATGAACTCTATTCCAAGATTTCATTTAAGAACTTCCAATCTTAAATCTCTCCTAACTCCATCATCCTTTGATGTTAAGATAACTTAAGCTTTCCTTAAGCTTAGTTATCATCTAATAATCAAAGCCCAATATTAAATTTAACAAGAAACTCAATAATCAGAAATCTTACCTTTGCTTTGGTTCACACGCACAAGGAAGAAAGAAGAAGAAGAGAACTCTGGAAGTCTTGAGTGTTTTCTCCCCTTTCACCCACGTGTATCCTTATATACATACATATCTCTTCTTTAATTATTTTTTTCCTTGCAATTACTCTATTGTCCTTTCATTCATTATTCCTTTCAATTCCATCCTACACAATAATTTACATGTAAATCTTTATACTATTCATTCATTTTATTTTAACCACCAAATTCTGAGATTTTACAATTTAGTCACTAACCCGGTATTGAGGATGTTACAACTAATGTACAAAATGAAGTATATTTTATTTGACCAACACACCTTTCTGAAGAAATCAAGAAGGAAAAAAGTAACATAAAACTTTACTACAAAATACTATCCTTGTCCCCAAAGAAATATTTTGGAAATCTCGGTGCCCCACAGAGGCTTTTGTTATACACTCTATGGTTTTTCTTTGTATATATTGAACTCAAAACGAAGCTTCAAAAAAATATTGTTCTAAAAGCCTAACAATGGCGAAACCAAAGGAAAAACAGTAATTTATTGTTTCCAAGCATTGCCCGATGTGCATCAATTCGACGTGAAAAAGACACGGTGGTGGCCGACATGGACGGAACCCTGCTAAGAGGATAAAGCTCTTTCCCTTACTTTGCATTAGTTGCCTTTGAAGTTGGCGGCGTATTAAGGCTTCTCTTCTTGCTTCTAGCTTCCCCTATAGCCGGGATCCTTTACTATTTCATCTCCGAATCGGCAGGTATTCGAGTTTTAATCTTCGCGAGCTTCGTCGGAATGAAAGTTTCCGATATCAAATCCGTGGCTCGAGCTGTTTTGCCCAAGTTTTACTCGAGCTATTTGCATCCGGAGACTTGGAGGGTGTTTTCTTCTTGTGGGAAGAGATGCGTGCTCAAGGCGAACCCGAGGGTTATGGTGGAGCCATTTTTGAAGGATTATTTGGGAGCCGATATGGTGATCGGAACCGAAATCGACGTGTTTAAAGGTAGAGCGACTGGTTTGGTGAAGAATCCAGGGATTCTTGTGGGATAAAATAAGGCTGATGCACTTGTGAATGCCTTTAAAGATGAGCCTATGCCCAATATTGCTCTTGGTGATCGAAAAGACTGATTATCCTTTCATGAGATTGTGCAAGGTGCAACTCTTTTCAAGCACACTCTTTCTAGAATAATACACTAGAGATATTATGATTTGAATTTGTATATCTCTAATAATTATCAATGTGATACAAGAGACAAAATTTTGTGTCGTATTTGTAGTTGTTATGTTACGTTGTGACCGTAATTTAATAATATGTTTAAAAGGCTTTCTAATTTGGTTTGCAGGAAAGTTGTGGTTCCAGCAAAGCCAGAAGTTAAACCGGTTAGTTTTCCATGGCTAAACTCACGATATAATGCCCTCAAAATAAATAATTCACGAAATAACGTTATCCCAACATTATTTGCTGAAATAGGGCGAAATCAACAGTGTGGCCGTAGGTCGCCATGCCTTCCGGGCGACCTACGACGTGGCTTGCTCTGCATGGGACATGCACAACCCAACCATAGGTCGCCATGCACTCCCAGCGACCTCCTAGGTCGCCATGCACGCCCGGCGACCAAGGAGGTCGCCATGCACTCGGGGCGACCAAGGATTCATGCATGGGGAGATCGTGCCATGCACTCGGGGCTCGGTTCATGCATGGGGCACTCGAGGCGACCAAGGAACGGTTCATGCATGGGACACTCGGGGCCATGGAGTCCCGGCAAGGTCGCGAGCAGGCGAGCATGCAGCAGGGCATGGATGGGCGTGCATGGGCGTGCTCCTTTGGCGAGATGGGCGTGCATGGGCATGGAGGTCGTTGGCTGGTAGGTCGCAGGGCATGCATGGCGACCTACCAGGTCGCTGGGCGTGCATGGCGACCTGGTAGGTCGCCGGGCGTGCATGGCGACCTACCCCCGGTACTGTAGAGGACACCACTTGAGCAATTAATCTGACGATCCCACTATTTCGTGAAAAAAAAAAAATCAACGCACTATCAACGAGATTTTGCCGTTTTCCATGATGGCCGGCTTGTTCAAAAACCAACGCCATTCATGGCACTTCTCATCATCCTTTGGATCCCTGTCGGCTTCCTCCTCACCTGCCTCCGCATCGGCTCCCTCCTCCCGATGCCGTTAGTGTAATTTGCCTTTTGGGCACTCGGTGTAAGAGTTTACATAAAGGGCAACCCACCCGCACCGGCTAAAAAATCAATAGGTCAAACCGGAGTCCTTTTCATATGTTCTTATAGGTCCCTACTTGACCCTATCTTCCTCTCCACTGCTTTACGCCGTCCGGTAGCCGCCGTGACATACTCTCTGAAATCATCTCCCCTATCAAGACCGCCCGTCTTAGTCGCGATCATGCCGCGGATGCTTCTATGATAAAAATGCTTTTACAAGAAGGCGACCTAGTCATCTGCCCCGAAGGAACAACATGTAGGGAACCATTTTTACTGAGGTTTTCAGCTTTGTTCGCGGAGTTAACAGACGAACTTGTTCCCGTAGCAATGTCGAATAAGATGAGCATGTTCCATTGAACGACGGCTAGAGGGTGGAAAGGCATGGACCCATTGTACTTCTTCATGAACCCTAGCCCGGCTTATGAAGTAACATTCTTAAACAAGTTGCCATATGATTTAACTTGCAGCGGTGGGAAATCAAGCCATGAAGTTGCGAATTACATCCAAAGAATGATTGCTGCAAGCTTATCATATGAATGTACAAATTTCACTAGGAAAGATAAGTATAGAGCTTTGGCCGGAAACGATGGCAGCGTGGTGCACAAACCAAATAAAGTTATGGGCTGCTAGAAAAATTAATTTTGTACTTCGTTATTTTATTTTAGCTTCTTTTGTTACTTCTTTTTTTGGTCAAATTCTGCATTCACCCATGTACTATATTGAACTTGTGAATTTAGTGCATCTACTTTAATTTGTTCAAATCTAGTAATTATACGTTTCAAGATTAAAAAATTTAAATGATGTATACTCTAAATTCCGAGAAAATTTTAAATCTTCAGATTTATAAAATCGACAAGAAAACATAATTTTGATGTAGAAAACAAAATATATAGTTTACCTTACTCTCACTTTAATCAACTTGTGATTAACCACGATAATAATTGGATAGTTTTATGTAATGATAATTGGATTACCACGCCCCTAAATCACTCTTACCTAATAACATGAATAATAGAAAAATAAGCAAGGTAAATCAATCAACCTTAAACAACCTATTTTTTTAGGATGACTTACTGTAAATATCACTAAATTTTAAAGTTTATATTGATTTTATCATCGAACATCAAAAGTATTTCGATTAAAGCATTTAATTTTGGTTTTAACTCAAATATTAGTATTGGTCCATCAAATAATTAAATGCATGATAATAGAACTTTTTCTTCATGTGAATTTTAGTTTATGTATAAAAGTTGTCACTAAACTTTAAAATATTTTATTTTTAGACATTAAAATTCAATTTGTGTATCATTTTGATCCCTGCAGACAATCCTCAACTCCTGTACTTGTCCTTATTGATCAATTATCGTTCATCGGTCATCATTTGCGATAAGATGAGTATCAGTACATTCACATTTCATTCATCTTTGTTCTTTTTGGATTTTTATAAAACACACTCTAAATCGAAGAAAATGTATCTAAATGTTGATGTTTCAATACTTCAAAATCCTTCAATGACTGTCCGGAAAGGCTAGTTTCGAGTTATGTTATTTGTCTTATCAAAAGAATGTTTCTCACTCTTCGATTTTTTGAACAAACACCTCCAAGTTCTCAAATTTAAGAAAACTATCAAACTCTAAAATTGGTGAAAATTTTGTATTTAATTTCGTGAATTTTAAAGAGGCTTTAAAAAAATCTAAACTGAAAAATGATAGAGAATGATGAGACGAGTTTGTCAGTGTCTAAGATAGTCACAAAGATGTTAAAGAATGATAATTTTTGACAACAACGGCTAAAAATAGATGAAAAATCTTAATTTTGAAGAAGAAGATGATGAAATTTAATAAAAAAAAATTATTTTTATTTACTTCTATGGTAGCACACGTCAGTACTAAAGCTAGCACATTATTCGATTATTTATATGAAAAATCAAAGTTTAGCTATACAATTATAATGTTTTAAAATTTTGTGATGAAATATTATAAATCTTAAAACTTAACGAGATTTGGAGTAGTTTAGTTGGGGCAAAAACTGGCATTGGATGGAAAGCGTTAAACGCATCGTTGTCGGTTATGGTTCTCCCGCCAGAAAAAGGAAATTCCAGATTTGTTTCCCTTTTTTAAATTTCCACCAAGCAACAAATATAAACTTCCATAAACGTAAAGCCTTGGAGATCTTCTCACAATTTCATCTCAGTAATTCTATTAGCGAGTGGAGCCCAGACAAGGGATTCCCTTGTTCCAGTAATGGATTGTTGGAATTTTCTCCGGTTTATTCTTCTTCTTCTTATTATTTCCCTTCATCTCCGTTTGTGTTCAGCTGAGATCAATGGATCGGTGCTTCAACTGAAAAGAGGAACTTCTTCTGTTCCCATTGATCCCACTCGTGTTACTAAACTCTCATGGAACCCTAGGTAGATCTCATTTATCTCTTCTTTTTGCATTTTATATATTTTCCCCGGTTTAATTTTGTCAAACTGTGGAATTTATGATTTCTTTTGGTGCAGGGCTTTTATTTATAAAGGATTTTTATCAAGTGAGGAATGCGATCACCTTATTGCTTTGGTAGGCAACTTCTTTTGTTGAAGAATTTCATTTTGTGATTCTTAATTACCTTTCTTTTAAATCACTGAATTTCAGGCTAAGGATAGATTAGAGAAATCAATGGTGGCAGATGATGAAACAGGCGAAAGCATGGAAAGTGAAGAGAGAACCAGCTCTGGCATGTTTCTCCGGAAAGCCCAGGTATTGTAAATTATTCTCTTCGTATACTATACTAATAGCCACCAAACGTTTTAGTCTCGTTTATTTTGTTCACCAAATTTTAAAATTAATTATTTTGTTCATTGAATCGTTAAATATTAATAGCTGTCAACAGGACATACTCATTTTAGACATGTTAACACAGATGATATTAACATCTGTATACATCACTAGTGACGGATCCACGTTTGGTCTGGGATGAATAAATATTCATCTTGTAATCAGAATTCTCTTTGATTAATTATTTATTTTATTGATTATGTCTCTAGAGATTTTCTTTGTACTCATCCATTCAAAAATCTTGTGTTGCAAATAAATATGTATCCACCTTAATAAATATTTTTATATCCGTATGTTAATAGTGGTATACCTATATATGATTCAGGTGGACAAATTTGAAATTTAAATTTATTTCAATTAATTATCCATTTCAATGACCGTGTTTATCTTAAAATTTTGTATATCACTAATAAATTGTAATTGTTTGTGTTGATGGCCCATGTTTGGAAAGCGTTATACATGCTTATTGTTGAAGTTTAAATGCTAACGTGGTGTTCTTTATTTCTCGCCTGAAGGATGACGTAGTTATTGATATTGAAGCCAGGATTGCTGCATGGACCTTCCTTCCGGAAGGTATGTCTCGTTACTTGCTTGTTGTTATTCTATGTGGAAAGTCATTTTCTCATCTTACTTTAATACGGCATCCCAAACAGAAAATGGGGAATCCATGCAAATACTACACTACGAGCATGGTCAGAAGTATGATCCACATTTCGATTATTTTCTCGACAAGTCTAACCTAAAGCTCGGCGGTCACCGTATCGCCACTGTACTTATGTATTTATCCGATGTCGAGAGCGGTGGGGAAACTGTGTTCCCGAATTATGAGGTAACCATTTGACTGTGAGTTTCTTCTTCATGTTCTTTCTTTCATCGCTCGTCAATTTGTCTTCTGTAGGGAAAGTATACTCAGCTCAAGGACGAAAGCTGGTCAGATTGTGCCAAAGATGGATATGCAGGTACTATCATTACCTTTTCAGATTGTGAAAAGCTTAATACATTTTCTCATACTGTTTGTTCTTGCAGTGAAACCCAGAAAAGGCGATGCTTTGCTGTTCTTCAATCTTCATCTCGATGCAACGCCTGATTCCAAGAGTTTGCATGGAAGTTGCCCGGTGATAAAGGGTGAGAAATGGTCAGCAACAAAGTGGATCCACGTCGAGTCTTTCGATGTACTGCCCTATCTGGGGTTCACCTCAGATCTTACATAAAATCTAAACAAACGAAAGCATTGTTCACGTATACATACTGTTCACCTTGGAGATCTGAATATATCTATACAGAAGGAATAAAAGGATACAAACTGATCGTAAAAAAGGCACGATACAACTTGGACAGATTAATTCGTCACTCAAGGTTTTAAAAAAATAAATGAAAATTTTATTTCTATTTCTTGATCAACTTTGTGTTGGATGGCAAAAACAATATATAAGCATTTGCCTTTGTAAAAAGAAGAATTATTGCCTATAACTGCAGCTGACCATAATTGCTCTGGTTGATTTGATTCAACCGTATGCAGCACAGCATGTTCTCCGGCAAGTCTTCGGGTTTATTTCCCTGTTAAGAAGTCGGACCGATATAAACTGCATTGTCCGAGTAAAATCTCAAAACATAGAAAGCATCCTCCGGTAGTCGAGAGATTTACCTGAATTGTCAAGCCAAAATCCAGTGTACATAGCTTAAATCTGTCCTGAAACACCTCGAAACCTTTTCTAGAAATGTAGCTAAATCGATGCAAATCTAAATCGATCTCAAAGTAGTTTTCACCCTGAAAGAGTTTTAACCCATCAGAACCATTTGCATAGTAAAGAACAGAACTATCTCGATCCCTCGTCCGTATCATGAAACAATCTCATTCTAAAGAAGAAAAATACCAAGTAAAACTCATGCTGGGGACGTGAGAGAACCGGCTTTTCATTATAAGCATTCATAAGCTTCTTCTCAGCTGTGCTTAAGTGAAGATCTGGCAAATTCTCCACTCGACTAATCATTTTTAATCTTTCTCTAAAAGGTGCAATAGTATCAACTGGGAATCCTTTAACTCGCTCAACCTCATCATTTGTTAACCTCTGTTGGTAGAAGTATTAAGGAGAAATGTTAAAGAAATAAGACAAACAACAACAAAGCAACGTCCTAAACAAGGGACTTCCAATAATTAAATGTCTAATATAGAAGCGGAGAGCAATGGATGTATCTAACTTACTATAATATTTTCTCGGAACTGATGCGGGAGCTCTTTTGAGTAACTTTCGGATAGTTTAAAGTACAACACCAAATTCATCCCTTCTCCATCGTTTTCACTTTGAAAGATTGTAACAGGGTACAGAGGAATCTGCAGGCCAAAAGAAAACGTCATTGATAGAAAATTCAAAAGGAGTGTACAAAGAAATTTGAACCTATAAAGATATTGAGCACACTTAAGTTCGTAATTCCGTTTCAAGCAAAGAATATAAGAAATTTACAATTGAACAACATGCTAATCACTTAGTTAAACAATAATAATTCTGTTTAAAGCTTAGGAGGGAATGTTTCGCATCAACATCTGTTGAAAGGCAGTCTTAGTCTGGAAAATGTGCAGATAAGAGTGGGTTCTAGGAAAAAAAAGGGAAAACATGAATAAGGTGTAAGCACCTGAATATTTACAACAAGAATAGCAGGAATTTCTTCGGATAAATTAAAAATCGGAAGTTCGACAAAACGAGCAATGTGATCAATTTTCCGCGGAGATAAGAAGAGATCAACTCCAAAGGGAATAAAGGCTGCAGAGTTTGAAGCAAATTCCTTCTTTTTGTCCCTGTCAAAAGAGAAAATATTAGTATCACTGAATTCAGTTAGCTGGTAACAGCAAAAATAACAAGGAACCTCTAACTAAAAAGACAAAAGTAAGCAAGTAAAACCGATGAAGACAATATGTTCTCACCTAAAGTAGTTGTGGCCACGGACCTTGAAAGAACGTGGTTCTAGAGGAGACCAACAATCGGGCATCTTCTTCTCTTTCGGACAGCATGGGACTGAGATACCAGCTACTGGTCTTTGCAAAGGCACCTTCGGAGAAACTAAAATGAGACAAGACCATGCAAGCATAAACATGTGGCATATGATAAATAAATAAGATGCTCAAGGATAATAAAGAAAATAGCGTAACACACCTAATGTCGGAGTGACAGGTCCCTCCCTCCATTTAAAGGATAGTTTCAGAGGTGCTTTCTTCCTTGAACTAGGAGTACCCGGGTTAAACGATCTTTTTCTCTCAAGTGAAAGGGCAGTTGAAGGAATACAAGGCAAACAATTATTCGGAAGAAGCTCGATGTGATGTGCCTCGTGCTTTTCATCCGCACGAATACTTTCACTAGAAATATCATCCACAGAAACAGGATTGCCCTCAGTAGGATGATCATTTACTTTCGATTGAGATGATAGAGTCAACACAGATGGATTTTCAGAGCCGGTGACAGATATTATCTCTGCAAACAACACGAAACGAGATAACAATTTAAATCCATACCAACCTTAATTCTTTAAGGGAAAAAGAGAGATTAAACTGATCACAAAACATACCATCATTAACGCTATAAAATTCTTCATCCAATTCAGATTCAAACACTGAAAAACAATCACGCCATACCAAGTCTGCATTTCCTGTCAATAGCAACCAAACCAAATATCAATATCAAATTTACAGCCTGTACTGTCTACATAACATGACATTGAAACCAGTAAAATACAGGTAAAAAATTCAGAACAAAAACTTCATTCATTTATGTTTCAATCAAACAAGATTGTACAAATAAAAATAGTTCTTAGCCTTACCCCTCTCAATCCATCCTAGAAATCAAAAACTAAGCAACAAAATTCAACAATCTCAAAACCAAATACCAATAAAATGAAAAGGGTAATCAAGAGAGAGAGAAAAAACCTTGGATAGTTGAACTAGCACGAAAAAAATCCTTAGAACCAGCACCAAATTCCCCATTCTCAAGCTTACGAGATGAAACTCTGCTTCTAATGATCCTTATTTTGCAGAAAACCTTCCTTTTCTTCTTCTTTGTCAATCTCCAAAAGCTTCTTTCCTTTGAAACACAACTACCCATTTTTAAATTTCTTTGAAATTCACACAAATAACACGAAGATAGTAACTTTTTTATATTCCAAACGATGAGGTTTCAGAATTTTCAATTGTTTGCGTAATTGCATAAGTCCCGAGTGAAAAAAATCCAAAATAGTAGTATAATTGACAACCTTCTATATACTTTCTTTAAGAAAAAAACGCTGTTACATGTCACCAGTGACAGCGTCGAACTCGGCCAAAGACTTCAGTTTTGAAAAGTCTTTTCAATGGTGTGAAAATCGGGTTTTTGATCATCTGGGTGCCCACGTCAACCGTGTGCAGTGTCGATTAGGTGATTGGATGATGATCATATATGACACGTGGAAGGTAGGCAATGTTAGACAGCGTAGTAGAGACGGAAAGGAGTTTGGTTTTCTCTCTTTTTAGTTTGGAAATATCTAAACTCAAATTTCATTAAAAATAATCAAAAACTCATAGGTACTTAATTTCATTTGAAATTAAATTGTTTTGAATTAAACTAATCGACTTGTCTACAACATTTTAGCTGAATCGGTATAAAAATAAGTTGACTGTAGTTTTGTCTTTTAAAAGATATTGTTAATATTATTTAAATTCAGACTTATAGGACCATTTATGTATTATATGTTCAAGCAATCAGTAGAAATTTCATTAAAATAAAATGGTAAATACATTTTTTTTGAATTAATCACTGATATTCGATCTATTGATGGATTAATCTAGATCGGATACTGTATAGGTAAGGGCGATCATTCCAATACAGTTTGTTCTATTCGCAAATACAATATTTGAACCCCTGACTTTGTTTAAAGAATCTAGCGTCTCATATCTCATTAAACCAACTGATTGTTGGTATTAAACTTTAAACCCTAAATCTTAAATTTTGAACGTGAACAATTTGTTCGTCGACTGAGGAACTACAAAATTAGTTGCAACTGCATAATATCTTCGTATAAACATACGCAACTATTCGAATACAAAAATTTTTACCCCTAAATCCGTACAATGGATTATGATACCCCGAACTTTAAATAAAACTTAACCAAGTCCGATTCATTAACTTTTTACTTAACTGCAATATGTTTCTTATTGACCTATTTTGAAATATGGGGGCACTATAACAATTCCCATGCAAAGTGAAGACATAATAATGGGGTATCAATATTAATAATTTTAACTTTTGGGATATTATCAGATTGTTTGTTGTCACCGGAATGGTTTTGATTAGCAAAAACAGATGAAAGAGTTCATGAAATAGTTATCTATAAAACACAAGCAACGATGGATTCTATAACTAAAAACTCAAATATTAGTTTTTAAAAAAATATATATTTTTCACTTAAATTATAAATATTTTTAGAAAATCATTTGATAATTAAATTTGGTATAATTCTATAAATATTATATATTTGATCAATTATTATAATTTATGGATTCCGTATAATTTAGAATAATCGAAGGTCTCATTTACGTTCTTTAATTCTTATGGAAAAGTGAGAATAGATGTAATTAGGTGATGATTAAGATGTGTCAACACACCTTTTCGTCCTACTAGGATTCAAACTCCTAAAAATAGGATAGAATTTTAGGATTCAAACTCCTAAAAATAGGATAACATTTTGCTAGGATTCAAACTCCTAAAAATAGGATAGAGTTCTACTAATATTTAAATTCCTAAAGATAGGATCCACAAGCACTATAAATAGCCATTGTAACTCACCATTGTAACACACGATTTACACACAAAACATAGAGGAAAGCACGGGAAGATACAAAGGCAAAGCTATTGTAAAGGATTCGAAAAGGAAATAAAAGACAACTGGAAATTACGTAGTACCGAAAGGGCGGTTCAAGGGTGCTAATCCTTCCTTGACCGTAACCGACTCCCGAGCCCGACATATTTCTGGTAAGACGCAGATCAGGTAAGAAATAGGGTATCCGATCAACCCATTTATTTTTAAATAAATGATCGGTGGCGACTCCAATCCATTTTCCTAAGTCGAAGCCCAATTCCGGGGCCCAACCGAAAGACGGTTGCGACAGCTTGGCGACTCCGCTGGGGAGGTAAGTGAGTCAGGCTAAGGTAATTTCTAATTGTCTTTTTAACGAAAAGGGTAAGTTTAGATTTTAAGGTAATATTTCGATCCTTTTTACTTACTTTTGATTATTTTCGAGTAAATAGTTGGACTAATCGTTTTCTCATGATTTCAGCCTTCAAAGTTTTTTTTCATCTAAGGCTCTATACCCGAGCTCCAAACCCTATTTTAAGTGGGGGTGAAAGCGACGCCTTCGTGTGAATTTATTCACCGTGCGGGCCTAGCAAGTAGCCTTCAGGATTCATATACCTTATGTCTTCGTGTGAATTTATTCACCGTGCGGGCATAAGGGAATGTGTCCTCTCGAGTTTAACTTAGTCCATACAAGCCTGTGATGGGTTTAGGACTAAGGGTCTGGCAAGCCCAAGGGGGCACCGGCAAGGAGAACTCGGGTACCGTTTTTTTTAGAACCTAAACCGGGAGATGATGGAGAATTAGAGCCCACCCCAAAACCTCATTCCAAACCTTAGGCTGCTTTAATTTTATTTCCTGCCTTACTTTATGTTCAAAGCATACGAACTAGACAAATATGCGATTAGGATTTGTTTGAGATTAGCATGCGGGATAGAGATCATGTCCGGGTAGGAATAATAAGCATGTGGGGTAGATATCATGTGGGGTAGGATTTTTCATTTTCATGATCGTTTTTTATTATTTTTCACCTCACTAACTCTTTTCATCTTTCTTTTCTTTTCTTTTATTTTCATCACTTGCATCATTTAAAAGAGGTATTGATCCACTAAAACGTGTTTGTTAAAACTCGAATAATCTGAATCCATGAACAAAGGTGTTGTAATACAAGAGATGAAAATACAGAGGATAGTCTACAAGGCGACTATGTGTCACATTCAATCCAGAAGACGTGGTGCCCACAATTGAAGAGTATATCACTCTGTTGCATTATAAAGGACTCAGAATGAACCGAGTCTACATCAAGCACAATGAAAGCTTATCTTTGAAGAACTGACTGGCAGAGGTTGCAGGGGCAGGATGAAGGTTATGTATCTTGGAAGTCCCTTTGAACACGACAATGGCAAAATGATAGCTGAAATTGGAGACCATTGCTGGCGAATTCAAGAAACATATTAATGAACTTCACATAGTTCCTATCAATTAAGGGCTCCAATGACAAATTCGTTGGGAACAGGCTCAACAAAAGTAAATGCTCGAGATGCGATCATTCGAGACTTCTTGGACCAGTACGAAAAATAACTCAACATTTTCACGGTTCATCCAGAGAGGTTGGAGCGGTTCGACAGGTTATTCAACCGGTGAAAGACGAAAGCAGAAGATTAGTCAACATGTCAGAAGCTGTCAGGATATTTTTGTCTCTTAAAAGATAAAACATTTTTGTCCCCAATAAGGATTATTCATAATAACAGGCACATTTCTTGGATCAATGCCTCGAACATTTCATGCATTCTTGCATTTTTGCATCTTCATCTACATTTTTAAGCATTTTCATAAACATGAAATTAAGTCACAGAGGATTCGATGAAGTGGTCTTAACCATATTACACCACATGAAAGCAAGATTTTAACAATTAAAGAAAAACTGAAATCAGTACAGGGGGAGCTGGATCAGCTGATTGTAGGACTAAGCCTGCCAGGATGATCTGAGAAAAAAGTACCCATCTCCTAAGGGCTACAATGTTGAAGTTGTTGCCACATAAGGATCCCCAAACATTCCTCTGAAAATTATAAGGCACTGAAGCGCAAGATCCAAACTCTGATGGATTCAGGGGCATGGACAGCCGAAGAAGGGGGCATGGCATATACCATTTGCACTTAGAAGATTGTTTTGTTTGAACACGCCTCTGATCTTTCATGTTAAACGATTGAAGTTATGCTACTTTCTAAGGTGGAGCAATTGAGCAAATTTTAATCTTTAGTTCTTCGAATATTAAATGAATTAAGGATTCTTTTAACTCTTCAAGAATTATAGATTTTTGACATATGGCAAGATTAGACCTTTCTTACCCTATCTCAAACCCCAAAATAAAATACCTCGATTTTTTTTACCCAAAATAACTCATGACCATTACCAAAAAACCAAATTTTGACATAACTTCCCTTTGAAATTCTTGAACATTGTCTTTATCTTTTTGATACACCCATACCTTTCTTTGAGTCAAATAAAGTCACACCATTAGACTCAAAATTGACATTTTAACCCAAGGCATTGAGTTGTTCATCTGAACATGAGCTTTATTCTAAAGACACAACTTGGGGCATCTTGCGGGGAGCTTGAACATTGAGACATCTGGGAAAAAAGAAGAATTCATCCGAAATAATTCTATCACGCGTTAATTACACTGTTTTCATGTGAATAGAATTAATCCTGAAAATCTATCCCCCTGGGGATACCTTTTCTGTGAGGACTTCCATGTATGAAATGATGAACGGCTTTCTTTCTTTATCCCTTCACAACAGGAGAAAATATATATCCCTTGTGTCCCCTTTTGAGCCTATAGTATTTTTCTTCTGATTCAACCCTAACCAAGGATCACCCTCCACACTGGGGGCAATGTGGAAGAAATCTGCTCACATGAGTGAAGACATCAATCCAAAGGAGTTACCAAAAGGTGAACCAGATGCCAAGTGCAAATATTTAATCAGAATAAAAAGGGCAAAAAGAAAAAAAAAGCAAAAAAAAGAGCAAAAAACGAACAGAAAGAACAAAATAAAAAAGGGAACAAAAAACACATACAAAAATTCCCTAAAGACAAATGGTGCATCAAGCTTCAATGAGATTGATCAAGCACAATCATTCCCGAATCACTGAATCCCTTCACTCAAAGATCATAGAGCATCAAGAGAAAGAGACATTTTGAGCAAGACAAGATCGATGACATCAGAATGAATTGATCCTTGGTTCAATACCCTGAAACACTTATTTGGGCCTATTTATCCTTTTCTTTTATAACCACGAACCCTGGCCTACATTACGTGCCTTAAAAGTCCCTTCTAATCATACATGGATTTCTAAACAGAAGAGACTATCTTCAGATTT